AACATATCCGAGGCCTGAAAAATTAGATTTGTTGAAATGAAACTCACCGGTAGGGTCAACCAATATTGGGCCAACTTAGAGAGCCTTAGGGAGTCTCGTAATGAGTATTTTATCATTGATTGGACTTTTAAGAAGCGCGAGCTTAAACAGAAGTACCTCCCTCCCTCATACTTCTCCAGACTCCTTGATAGGTGGAATAGATTGACCCAAGGGAGCAAACCCGTAAAGGACTACATTGCAGCTTTTGATAATTACTTAATCCACTACAAGGGGGAGACCTCGACTACGCCCGCTCAAATTCTATCCATGTTCCGTATTTGGTTACGTGAGGATCTACGCAACGAACTGTTTTCCCAGAGTGTCACTACACTAGAGAGTGCATATAATCTAGTCCTAGACCTTGAGGAAACCTGTTCCCAGTACCCTAAGAAGCACTAGGATGCTAGATCTTCCTACATACCCTCCAGTGGATCAACCCCACACCACTCTATCACACGACCAACTCTAGGGAGCCTCATACCCATCTCCTTTGCTGGCTATAAGGAGAATGTGTGGTGTGATGTTCTGATAATGGATGTCGGACAAATCAATCTAGGGCGTCCCTGACTCTTTGATAATGATATCCACATCTATGGGCATTCGAACACCTGTATGTTTGAATATACGAGCAAGAAGATCAAGTTGCTGCCTACACAGCGCAGGATTAGAGATGACCCCAAACCCAATCCAGTTAAGCCCAAGAAGGGGCTGAACCCTGTGACAGCCAAGGTCCTAAATTCTAAAATAGCACAAGGCGCACCCCTGTATGCCTTGGTTAGCCGAGAGACTTCCTATGAGTCTGATGAGCCAATTCCTTAGGAGGTTCAACCCATACTGAGTGAATTTGCTGATGTCTTCCCTGATGATCTCCCTAATCAACTACCTCCACTAAGAGACATTCAGCATGCTAATGACCTTGTCCCCGGAGCCTCTTCCTAACATGCTACACTACCGCATGAACCCCACGGAATATGCTGAAATAAAAAATAGGTGGACGAGTTACTGCAACGGGGCTACACAAAAGAAAGCCTCAGCCCCTGTGTTGTACCCGCCCTTCTTATACCGAAGAAAGATGGTACTTAGAGAATGTGCGTTGATAACTGTGACATCAACAAAATCACTGTTAAATATCATTTTCCCATCCCGAGTTTAGACGGTATGCTTGAAATGATGATAGGAGCCACCCTTTTCTTCAAAATTGACCTTAAGAGTGGGTACCACCATATCCGGATCCGACCCTATGATGAGTGGAAGACCACCTTTAAGACTAAGGATGGTCTGCACGAGTAGATGGTCATGTCTTTTGGATTGAGTAATGCCCTGAGCATGTTTATGAGAATCATGATCCAAGTGCTGCATACTTTAATGGGTAAGTTTGTCGTTATCTTCTTCACAAACCTGCCTCAAAGTGCTGACTTACCTATAGCCAATCTATGAGTCAGAACTTAGACCATTTGAGGCAAGTTTGTGAGGTCCTAAGGAAGGAGCAGTTTTATGCTAATCCTAAGAAATACACCTTCCTTGTTGATCGTGTAATTTTTTTGGGCTTTATTGTGTTAGCCCAAGGGGTCTCTGCAGATCCCGAGAAGGTGAGAGCCATACTTGAATGATCAGTTGCTCAAAACATCCAAGAAGTCCACTTCTTCCATGTCTTAGCCACCTTCTATATGAGATTCATTAAAAACTTTAGCAGCATTGTCTCTCCTATTATTGATTGTCTAACGAAAGGGGACTTTCATTGGACCCCGATTGCCATCAGAGCCTTTGAGGAGATAAAGAAAAGAATGGTGAAAGCCCTAGTGATAAGACTTCCTGACTTCTCCAAGGTCTTCAAAGTTACTTGCAATGCTTTAGGGGTTGGAATTGGAGGAGTGCTATCCCAGGAAGGTCACCCTATTGCCTACTTTAATGAAAAGTTAAATGACATCCAGCAGTGCTATTCCACGTATGGCAAAGAGTTCTACGCAATGATTCCATTCCTATGATACTGGCGACACTATCTGCTCCCGTAGGAGATCATCATCTTTTCGGATCACGAGGCTCTTCGTTATATCAACTCCTAAAAAAAGTTGAATGCACGCTATGGCCGATGGGTAGAGTTCTTACAGGAGTACATTTACACCCTTTGGCATAAAGCGGAAGTTGAGAATAAAACTGTCGATGCCCTCAGTCATCGTATGATGACCACCACTGAAATGAGGGCACAAGTCATTGGGTTTGAACATGTCAAAGAGGACTACTTGGAATGCCCCAACTTCAAGGATATATACTTCCTTTTGTCCACAGGCAGCATGCGCCTAGTTGATGATTTTCTTCTTGAAGATGGATACCTATTCAAAGCTCAGAAGCTTTGCATTCCAAGTACTTTCCTTGGGGAATTCCTCATTTGGGAACTTCATGTCGGAGGCCTCACCGGACACTTCGGTCGTGATAAAACTATTGAAGCTGTAGAGTACCATTTCTTTTGGCCTAACCTAAAGAAATTTGTGGGTAAGATGGTTAGTAGATGCCACACTTGTCAACTGACTAAAAAACGAAAGAAGAACACAGATCTCTACACCTCTTTACTAGTTCCCAATTGTCCATGGCAAGATGTCAGCATGGACTTCATACATTTCGTAGGAATGATGTCATATGTGTCGTAGTCGACCGCTTCTCCAAGATGGCACATTTTCTACTCTGTTCTAAAACATCTGATGCCTCTCTTATTGTCAAGTTGTACTTTAATGAAGTTGTCAGATTACATGGTTTACCCAAAACCATCATATCTGATAGGCATGTCAAATTCACAAGTTACTTTTGGAAGACTCTCTAGATGAAAATGGGCACCAAATTACAATTCTCTATAGCCTTTCATCCTCAAACAGATGGTCAAACTGAGGTGATCAATTGGAGTCTAGGTAACTTGTTAAGGTCCTTAGCGGTTGAGCATGTTAAAGACTGGGATTCCAAACTCCCTATGGTTGAATTTGCTTAAAACAATTTTGTGAACCGCACCACTAGCTTGAGTCCTACTGAAGTTGCATATGAGTACAAGCCTAGACAGCCTTTATATCTCATACCCATATGTCCTAAATATAAAAATTCTGAGTCTACATCTTCATTTGCATCGCAACTGCATGAATTACATAAAAAAATTATATGCTAAATTGAACAAAGCAATGCAAATCATAAACTTCACGTTGATATTAAACGAAGATTCAAGACATTCGAAGTTAGTGATTCGGTAATGGTCCAGATTCGTCCGAAATAATTTCCGAAATGGGCCGTTAAGAAATTACATGCTAAAAGCACAGGACCATTTAAAATAATCAAGAAAATCAATAAAAAGGTCTTAGTGGTGGATCTGCCTGCAGATTTCAATATTAATCCCTCTTTTAACATCGAAGATTTAGTATCCTATGAGAGTCCAAATTTAACCCACCAAATCGACTACAAATTGAGCCTTGTGTGACCTCACCTTTTGAGAACCCAAGCCTTCCTCCACTTCCAAATATTTTCAAAACACCTATTGCGGAGAAGGTTGACATGATTTTAAATAATGACATCGATTCCATGAAAGAGGGTGGACGAAGAAGGTATTTGGTAAGTTGGAGAGGTAAGCAAGACTCTGAGAACACTTGGTTAGAGCACGAGGAGCTCCAGCAGATTGATCCAGATGTACTAGAGATTTATGAGAGCACCCGAGATGCGTACTCGACGAAGTCGAGCTCTTTTCCACCCCAGGAGAATGATGAGGACATCTGACTGTGGAAAGTTTATCTGAGAAGAGGCTGAAGATCTACGGCCATGATTGGACCACTTTATTTTGGAGTTATTATTTGTATTTGATTTACTTATACATTTTCCCGTTTTTATCCTAACTTGAGGGAGTAGGTTCATGTAACCCCAAGTGGCACTTTCGTCTTTAGAGTTGTTATGTATGGATTAAATATTTGTCTGCCTATTAAAGGTCCCTGTATTGATCTTCTCCACGTGAGATTACAAATGTGCTCACCAATGCTATAAAGTTTTGATGCGGAGCTTGTTGATGAATTTACCATATTCCTAGGTAGATGTAACAACTCCACTAATGATAATGACATTCTAGACATAGATACTGTCTAATGTTTGTCTGCTTCTCTCTTCTTAGATAGATATACTTGTTATGATTTATTCTATTTTAAGCCAATGTATTTTACTTTTCTTTAATGATGACAATCTTAAGTAACTGCAAGCTCACGTATCTTTTTCACCAACTTGTTAAAAAATCATGCTGCATAAGAAAAAACCTCCATGCCAACCTGATTTCCAATCAAACTTGAAAATTTAAATCGGATCAGTTTTGAATCACATAAACTTCATGTATTATTTCTTGAGAAAAGAACCTGTCTCCAGGTGGAGACTAACTTTAAACATTACCTTTTTAATTGGAAATGTAAATTTGGCCACTTTAAATAAACATAGTACCAAAAAGTTAACGTTTCAGAATAAAATGAGAAGAAAACTACTTCTGTAAAAGATTTGGCCATCATTAATCCAAAATATTTGGGATAAGCTTACTGAATCCTTATTTTCTCATTCATGCCTACCAAATGTTAAATGAGGAATAGCGAACAAACCTATGCGAGTCCTACAATAGTTGGATAAATACCTGTCAAAGAAATTATAATCCATAACTGGCAAAAATGTCCGTAAATGGAAAAGCAACGTGAGCAGTACTACTAATAATGTATGACTATGTACGTTGATTCATTTTAAATAGAAATAAGTGTCAATTATATCAAGTAACATGGCTATAAGGTAAGACAGGTAAAATACATACAGCATTGAAGCCTCAGATATATTAGAAACAGTAAAATAATAAAGAAAGGAAAATAAAATTTTGATTATCATAATCGGAAAAGATGCACCAAGAGCAATTAAAAAACTATCAAATGAATTCAAAATTTCATCTAAAAATAAAATTGCAATTGTTTTACCAAAAGGAATAGTTCTTCTGCACCATTAAAAAGAAAGATAATCGGTTTGGGTGGAATCCAATTTGAATCAATCACGAGCCTCGCTAACTCAAGCATAGAGGCTGGGGCAAAAAAGATATTCTTAAACAATCCGAAAAGCACATCAAAAATGCTACAATGGCATGTAAATGTGGGACAGAGTCTTTGCACTCACCAACACAAGAACCACAATCTCCTGCACCTGCAGAACCAACTGGACTGTCAAAATGGCCATTCAATAGAACGGATGGATCATCATCTTTTGAAGAATTTGAAGCAATCCTGCAAAGGAAGAATTATAGGGTAGTGAACAGTCCATGAAGATTTCCAAAAGAATTACAACATACAACTTAAACCATCCATGTGTACATATATGGCATCCAAGAAAGCACTTAGAGTTGAAGTTACCTCAAAAGAATGTTCTTATGATCTCTGTATGCAAGAGATATGCTATGACGCAAAAAAGTCATGTTGAAGGAACCACTAACCAAAGCCTCATCAACCTCAACCCTGAAATATGAAATTTTCAAACATAAAATAATCACCTTACGTGAATTAGAAATATGAAGAACAACAGAAGCCACTATTCATAAGAAAATTTTAAGATGATCATATACACACATTGAAGAAGTTCAATATTCCAAATTAATGAAACAAAAAAGTAGTTTTCAATCTATTGACTGCATTAATCCAACTACTTAGATAACCATCAAAAGTAATAAAGCGCCAGTCTTAACATTTTCTAGCCCAGATTGATAGGAATTCTGGAATTTCCAACAAACAATCAAATAACTACTTCCCTCAGCGAAGAACAAAACACTGTTATTATACTATATTATATGGCTTCAAAACAAGGTTAAAAAAGCAAGCTTTTTCTTTGTAAGGTATTGGTAGGTCATACGCAATAAAAACAAACACCAACCAACACCTGGATATCACTATGCAGTTTTCATCACAAGAAAAGCAAACTAAAACTATACTCCAAAATTTTCCTTCATTGCACTACAAAGCCAGCTTTACCCACGACGTATAGCTCAAATCGATTTGCTTTGAAAAACAAACACAAATTCAATCAGCCCATCGTCATTCCACTTGCCTGTACTCCGGCCCAGCGCGGTTCTTGATCGCTTCTAGCTCCCCTTTAATATACTGCGCCGCCTCCTCCAACCCCGGCCGACCCTCCTGCTAACCCCAGGAATAAGGTCAAAACCCCGAAACCCAATTTCAAAAGGGAAAAACTCATCCATTGGATGATAAAGGAAATTCCAACAGCTAACCTGGCGACCATCAATGTCGACGGTGAGGCGGCGGAGATGCCGAAGCGCCCTGCCCTCAGAGAACCGCGCGGGATTCGCGTCATCCGGCAGCGGGCGGACGTAGCTCATGTGGACAACGATGTACGCGGCGAACGCCATGAGCGCATATATGAGCGAGAGAGCAAGGAGGCATTTGAGAGCCCTTGCATCCCCCGACTTCATCCATGAACTCATCTCCCTACCTCCACCCGCTCTCCCTCTCTGCCTTTCTCTATGTTGATGTATTTGATAGCTTGCTCGCTGAGAGATCTCGAAATCTCGCCGGAAAAAGGAATGGAAGCTTGAAGCAGCAAGCAAGTTGGAGGGGAGAAACCGAGGAAGTTGAGGGGTTTTGGCTTCGTTTCGTTGCCGGTCGATCGACTTCCAATTCGCCGGTCGGTTGACGCGTCTGCTTTAAGATTTGTGCAGAATTCGTGATCTGACCTGCCGGCGGTTTGAGAACTGTTGCCACGCCTAAATTAGTGGTTTTTTTATTTTTATTTTTTTTACTATTGAGACTTAAATTTTACATATTTATTAATATATAACTTATTTCACAAAACATGCAATGTTTCAATGCTCTATAGGAAATTAATATTGCACTAATTTTTAATTGAATATTAATTTTAATATCTATTTTGAACATATTTTAATTTGAATATTCTTATTAAATTTTTTTAAGCAAATATTTAATAAGATATATTATTTTTTGGTGTATAAATATATAGAATAATAAAATAAAATTGAGATAGAACTAGTGAACATTTAGATCCTACTCTTTATTGATTGTATCTTTTATTGGACAAGACATTATGTTTAATTTTAGCTTTTAAATTGAAGATTAAATTCATTTAATTTGGTTATTTTGATAAAGTTAGATTAATCCCAATCAAGTACCATATGGGTGTGGATTGATCAAATTAGCTAACTTGATCGACTTTGATGGGTCAAATGGATTAAACCAAGCAAGATTTGCCTTCCTAGTATCTTTGGCTAAGCTCAATGTCTAGTACTTTGATTATTGTTTATGATTTGGTTGGAATAAATCAACTTGGAAAGTAAATTTTCTATTTTGATAAAGTTAGATTAATCTCAATCAGGTATATGGGTGGATTGATCAAATTAGCTAACTTGATCGACTTGGATCGGTCAAATGGATTAAACCAAGTTAGGTTTGCCTTCCTAATATCTTTGGCTAAGCTCAATGTCTAGTACTTTGATTATTGTTTATGATTTGGTTGGAATAAATCAACTTGGAAAGTAAATTTTCACATCAATGGAGAGATTTGACTTTATTAACTAATCATGATCAAACCTATTATCAAATTTGTTTTACCAAAATTAGATCATGTTATGAAGTTTGATGTTTAGGGATTTTGGCCCATTTGATGTTTAAACCCATTTTGATTTAATTGATCCATTTGAATTTAAATGGGTCGAGTTGGGTTAAATGAGCTTAATTGGTTCAATTGATGAATAAATTGGTATATGAGGATGTGTCTCATATATAGACGTCCTATTATAAGCTTATGACTTGAAAAGTTATGACTGCCTTGGATGGCCGAAAAGGATGTGCTACTTTGCAAAAGGATGTAAAGTAAATTAGAATTAAATTTCTTTGGGAAAATTTTAATTTCTAAAATTTTGGTTTTAAAGTAGAATATATCGCCTCGGGAGGTGATGATATCTTTACCTAATGGGTTTGGATAATAAACGGTAAATTTCATCATAATTATGATAGTCAAATTCAAGGAAGAACTATATATGACCTAAAGGGTCAAAACGAATTTCTATCGAGTATTTAACTATAATAATCTACATGATATATCATTAATTTCATATGCAAAGGCATGTTAACAAAAGATATATCTTTTTGGGAAAAGGACATATCATTTATTATCAAGGGTTTAAATGTGATGATAATGATCGTCGTTGATTTAAATTTTTTTAAAGAGAACTAATTAAGTTTTAAAATTTGATCTAAGGTCTTTGAGTCTCCTATTAGCATAAGCCCTCGTAATTAACTACATCGTAGGAAATTTGAATTTCCTATGAAAACTCTCGATTAAAATAACAGTAAAAATTTTATTTTTTTTAATTCTCAAGGAGTGATATCAAATGAGTGAGGCTGGAATTTTCAATCGGGATTGGATCAAATTTAAACTCTTATTTCGGAGGCCAACAGATGAGAAGTAGGAGGAATTTTTTATTCTGAAATAGTTCAAAAATGCCTTAGTCTATCCTATGTGTTGGGCATTAAATTTTAGTTTAAAGATAAATTTTGATTCAAGTCAGTAATTTAATAGAATGGTGGAATTTCATTTCCAAAGGTAGGGTTTTATGATTTTGGGTCCGCCCTAAATCCTAAATCTAAATTAGGCACTAAACAATAGTGACCCAAACCTAACTAGTGCAATAAAAATATGTACTTACCTTGAGTTGTATTAGGGAGCCAACTAACCAGCTAAGCACTTTAAATCCATGTGTTGGTCTTTCATAAAAGATTGGTAAGATGTTACTTAAGTTTTCAAGAATTGGGGCCAACATGTAGAGCAGGTCCTAATTGACTTCTTGACTTATGTAGAGTGATTAATGCTTAAACTTAATTAAAATTTTTGTACTCTTTTAATTTATTTCTAATAAAATGCATGCTATTCGACCTTTTGTATGCAAAAATGATATGAAGCCATTTTTAAGAAAGGCTTAAAATAAATTTTTCCTAGAGATTGCACAACATCCTCTTGACAGAACTACACTCTAATAGGTTAAGTGATCTTCTAGAACCCACAGGCGGGGAGGAGCTTCAAAAGGAGGAGAAGAATTTAATATTAATGCATGTGAACTCTAGCAGACTCGAACTTACTTCTTAAAATCATTAGAATTTTTATGTGAGCATGATATTTTTTAAATTAGTTTGAGTAAAAAATGTTCTTATATTCCCTCACAAGCCTTCAAATATTTTCATTTTAAAATAAAAGCCACATGCAAGAACAAAACTTAGAATAGTATATAATTTCTAAAGTGCAATCAATATAAATAATCAATATCAATCAATCAATCAATAAATGTAGAGTCCATGTGGTAAGTGCCACTTAATTTATAAGTCATAGTGTGTAAAAATTAGAAGTGGTTGGGTATCACTGACAATAACCCACATTCTAATCCTAAAAATGATGTAAGTGATCTTTGAGAGAGGCAATGTATTTTTTAGAGCCGTTGATCGTGTGAACAACATCTCAAAAAATATATAATACATACATGATACGATTAAACCCTAGAAAAGAATAAAGTCTTCATTCATTAAAAATACTCTACCAAATCACTTAAAATTTTAAACAGAGCTATTATATATGAAGAGCATTAGTGGGGATGTGTTTTTTTGGGTTGAAATTGGCTTTTCGTAAATCTATTTTATCCTAAGTAATTTGAGCTAGGGTTGAGTTTTTACCATGATTTAACTTGTAGATTTGGGTGTTCTTGGGTTTATTGAGCTTGTAGAGTATCCTCATACACTTTTCTAGAAGAAATCCAAGATTGAAAATGACTGGATCGATAGCTACAATGCTTGGATGGATTTGGTGGCTCTTTTCATTGGTGAGCTTTGGCCAATGTTTGAGCTAGCAAAATGAAGGGATTTTGTTGGGGAGTCAAATTGAAAAGAGGTCTGGGTTGGAAGAGCTCTGTACGATGAAATAAGATAGAATGGGTAAAATGAGGTCATTTTAGATATAGGGTTTGAATTAGACAGTTCTAATTGATCAGAGTTGTTTATCAAAGCCCCTACATGTGTCCTTAACTGTTAGAGGTCAGAGGAGAAGGCTGGCCAAATCCTATGGTCATTTGTGGCGTCATGTGGGAGAAGGACCACTCCTTTCCATTTTAATTTTAACTAAGACTCGGGCTTGGTTTAAAGGAGAGTTGGAGAGCTTTAAACTTATTTAAAAAGATCAAACCAGAGAGCTTAAGTAAGGAGCGGGTCTTACATAGGATTTGACCATACGAGCTTGTCTTGGGACTTTGTTGACTGTTTGATCAGTCAAATGGTCAAGGGATGATGAGGTAGAGAGTGTGGGGAGCTACTTGAGTAAACTCTTGAGGGCTTGATTGAATGCACATGGAGATTTGACCAAAAGTATGGGAGTTTAACAAAGTATTTGAGTTGACTTTGGTCAAACTCGCCAATATTTGACTTGTATAAAGTTTGAATGAATTTAAACTATGAAATGGGATGATATCAAGGACTTGATGGGATTTGTGCAGTGCATGAGGTAATTTGATAAAAAACATGAGAGATTTACCAAGTTCAAAGTGTTTACTTAGTCAAACTCATCAAGGTTTTACTCATGATAGATTTGAAGGTGTTCAAAGCATGTGATTAAGTGATCTTGAAGGTTTGGAGAGCTTGATTAGATTGGAATTGATTGTATGTGGTGAACTGGCCCTCTATCGACAATAATTGACTATATATGGGCTTAGTTGAGCAAGTCATATGTTGATTGGGTCAAGGTGACCAATCATGTCCATATCACTAGGAGGAATGATCAAAGGAGTTTGAAGAGGTTTAAAGTGGATACGAAGCTTGATTGAGTGTAAATGGGGATTGATGGTTTATATGGTCAACCCAGGAGTTGGAGTTGGGTCCAACAAGTTTGATGTGATGACTAGAGACCGATGGAGATGGTACATGCACTAGGATAATTGGGCTCGAGATGATTGCCAACTAGATTATTGTCAACCATCACATCAATAGATAGGAATATGGATGGATCCTGATAACCTCATACAGTAATGAGGTCAACAACCACATAGTTATAGAGTTTCTGCCTCCCATTGCATTTAGCTTCGTATCCGATTACATTTAAATTATTTGATTGAACTTATCATTTTTTCAAATTAAAGATCAATGTTCAACAAAATTAGATGAAGAGGCTTTACAAATGAGTGAGCAAAATATGCCATTTATTTTTTGTAAGCTTGAAAAAATCTTTCCTCACTTTTTTGACTCTATGGAAACTAGTGCATTTATTATGAGGCTAAAGTTGGTGATCTAGTTCAATATTATTGGATGTATCATTTGAGAGGTATATCCAAATTTTACTTATGAAAAATTCACTTCTATTAAATGTTTTGAGATGATCCTCAATGTTACATATACTTGAACAAACTAAAAAAATATGTTAAGAACAAAGTACACCAAAAAGGATTGATATTTGAAGCTTATCTAACAGAAAAGACTACCCATTTTTATGCATATTAATTTGAACCACATGTAAGAAGTTCAAGAATAAAGATTGGACATAACATTGAAGTTGAGGAGGAATGTCATCCTCAATCATCATTGACAATATTTTTAACTCATTAAAAACCAAGTGGAAAATGCACAAGCAGATATCTAATTGATTT